TTAAAGTTCCAGTGCTGGAAGGCTGTCATTTTTGATGCGCTGCTTGAGCTGAAATAGAACCATCCGCTCGCTTGCTGTTCCTCAAGGAGGCTCCACCAGCACAGGATTTATCATCAGAGTGGCAAATATGATAGAGACAAGGAGCCGTAGGAGGAAACGGCGATACAGGGCGCGAAGCAATAAAATGTCATTACAGTGAACCCTTGTTTATCGCGTAGGTTACGTTCCTAAAAGAACCCGCGATAGCTGAAATCCCTGAAGCAGAAACCTTTATTTTTTTAAAGTTATTATACAATGAAATACTACATACAACATTGAAATCAAGGAACAAAAACTTTTTTACAGACCCAAGCATTTGTTAAGCAAATAAAAGTACGGTATAAACATTGCTGTTGTCTGTTTTCTTTTTTTTTCTTTTTTTTTTTTTTTACAAATAATTACTGTACTGTACTGTAAAATAATAAAGTTATCACTAAATAAGTAATAATTTTAATCATCAATACGAACTGAAGAGTTAATATTGCGGGGATCAGCACCGCCCGCCATGACGGATTGGAATGGGGGAAAATGAAAAATGAGTATGAAAAAAAATACAAAGTACAGTAGGACAAATAGTGACTGACGTGTATAGTACAGTATTTCACTGCTGTTTGACGGAGCCGCTGCATCCTAACTCTGCTCTGTGGCGTTTTTTTCTTCTAAAGCCTGCGGTGCAGGTGTGTTTTTTGGAGAGAAGAACATAGTTATCGGTAGTTGTTGTTCCTCTTTCTTCTTCTGGGCCAAAAGATCCTTATAAACCGACATGCCACCATTGATTATGTTTGACAATAAAGTTTAACAATGCATGATGCAAATCCGTGAAGCAGCGAGACCGTGAAAAGTGAACCGCGTTATAGCGAGGGTTCACTGTACATATTTCGCAAAGGTTTTTCTTTATATTTTTTAAAAAATTTAACTAAATTTGTAATTCTTAATATTTTCGGAAGTAACTGTAACTTAATTACATATTTTCTCATTGTAACTGTAAAGAATTACAGTTACTCTGTTTTGTAATTAAATTACGTAACGTCGTTACATATAATCCGTTACTCCCCAACACTGTGCATATAAATAGCTTTATTATAATTATGCAGGGAGTTTTACAGATTATATGGACACTGCAATGTAAATAGAACAGGAAAGGAAAAACAGAAAAAAGGAGAAAAGATGAAAGCAACCAGACTCTACAATGCCACACTACAACCGCAATAACTGCTGCAATGTAGAATGTATAATTACTATTTAATACCCTGTGCAATAACCTGTTCCTCTCTAATAACTATACATATACAGTGATGGGCAGTAGCGTTGCTACATGTAGCGAAGCTATTAGTTTAACTACATGTTCCAGTAGCTTGACCGTAGTGTTGCTGCTTTATTTATCAAGTAACTTTCCAGTAGTGACGTTATTGCTTTGATCAAGTAGCGACGTAGCGTCCACAAACGCTACAAAATCCAGGGCATAACTAAGTAATGAAAGCAGGTTTTCTATTTTGAAACAACAATCGGAGTTATTCGTTGGACATTCACGCATGAGCCTCTATTCTGCCTCTCACACACAGGATGGAGGAGGAGACAGGAGCAGAGCGCCTTATCTTCAGAGATTTTGAAACTTGTTGAATCCTGTGATAAAAAGTATGTGTTCAAATTTCGGTTCTTGGCCATAGAGAGCTAATGTGGCCAAGACTAGCCATTTGTTTTACATTTGTTTTTAATGACTGTTTGCGCCAAACACTCATTAA